TATGATGATCTGGAGTATAAAGAAGATAAAAAAAGAGTATCTCATAGGTAAATAAAGAATCAAACGTTCAAGACAAATAAAATCTTTATTCTTTTGTCAAGCATTTTGCTTAAATAAATATATTTTTACAGATACAATAGGTCGCATATATTTTTATAGATACAATAGGTCGCTTTATCACCATAAAGGGCCTTAAGCAAAATTATATTGGTGATAGATTAGAAGCACTTAGAAATATATATCATCATCCAAGACCTTAGGTATATATAATTTCATTCTATAATTAATTACAAAATTTATACATTACATGTGTAAAAATATAAATTGCTTATAAATATGTATTTTTTCCTAAATGTAGAGAAAAAATTATGTGAGTAACATTATGGGGTGATCTTGCAACAGAATTCCACGAAAATAAGTTTAAATTTATACCCTCACCTGTTATTATTATTTTTGCTAGCATGGTAGTTAGATGATACCAAAGTAATTAGTTTTTCTATTTATCTCTAAAAATAGTAAAGAATTATTTTAATCATCACTAAATACATGTTTATACTATTTGTTTATATATTACAGGAGAACCATATCTAGGAAGTTCATTGTCGAGAATGTACTTCATAAATCCAAACAGTCCAGGAGTCGATGAATATAAAATCAGGTGAAATTATATTATCCATCAATTAATACTATCTAACTACATTATTCATCATTTAATGCTATTTTTTCATCATAAACAATATTATAATGTCCTGCTTTTTGTATATAATTTGTATTATATACATATTGAATAAAATTGAAAAAATATTGAGTTATTGCTAGCATCAAACACAACACCCGTGCACCTAAATGAACAAAAAATGCTGAACAGGAAAAAAAATTTCTGGCTTCAAAGTGATGGATCCCCATAAATATCAAGTAAGTACCAAAATTTTATTTTTAATTTTAATATTATAGTAGAAAAAAACTATAAAATAACAATTATTATTATTATCACATGCAAGGGAATTATCATTCACGTTGATTCAAGTCATGGATGGTGGTACAATGCCTGTCTAACATGTTATTGTCAAGCAAGAGAATATGGAAATATGTGGCGGTGTGATAAAGACGGAGAGTTTTTCAACCTACCAATTCCTTGGTAATACATTTTCTCTTTTATTTATATTAATTTACTATAAAATACACAATATGATTAATGTTTATTGTAAATTTGGCTAAAAATTTTTATAGATTGTTGCAATTTCTATTAATTAATGTTATATAGAGTTTTTTTCCTTAATATTCTCTCATTATTAAAATTTTATAATGTATTTACATGTTTAGAATAAGTTGCATATTGAAAGATGAAACTGGACAAGTAAAAATTGTTATATTTGGATAGCAAGCATAAATGCTTATCCGAGAATCCTGCTTTGCTTTGACAATGTTACAAGGATATACAGATCCTGAAATACTTCTATCATCAATTAGTGCACTATTGGGTGTCAAAAAAATTTTTCAAGTTTCATTCAACATGAAGGCTGCAAGTTCCAGGAAATTAGTATTGTTAGTGAATAAAATCTTTAACGATGACCCTGAACCACCCACTCCAACAAGAACTGAGTTATCTTTGGTTGATACTTCACTGCAACTTCTTGAAAAATCATTTGTTAAAAAGGAAGTTTTCCCAAATCCTGCTGAACATCAATGCGTAGATAGGTAAATTGAAATTCTTTACTTATTGATTTTTCGTGTTTCATAAAAATATTAAATTACCAAAATTTTCTTGCAGCTCATCAACTTCTGCAAAAAGAAAAAGAGAAGACATTGAAGAACAATACAGGTAAAATATTATTTTTATTCATAAAAACATTAACCTTTAGACATAACTACCTCAGATATAAATTCTGATATTGTTTTTTTGTATTTAGCATTGTTAAATAAGCAAGAAAAGAACTTCAAGATAGAGTTAGCAGAGTCAGCTTTTGCACAGTAACATTTGCATGCAACGCGTTGTGGAATATTAATTTTTGAAACTATTTTGGATGTGGACAGCTTTTTGGAAAATACTTTAGAAATATACTCTTTTCCAAGTCTACTATTTTGGATGTAAATACTCTTTTTGTTGTATATCAAATAAACAATACAGGTAAAGTGTACTTTATATTAATAAAAAATAATTCACCTTTAAGCTTAATTTTTAAAATCTAAGTTCTAATAATTAATTTTATATATAAGTGCGGGTAATTCCGCTTGTATTTATCTATGACGAGTAAGAACGAGAATAATAATAGGAAAAAATATCTTTAAGAATTTTAATTGTATTAGTGAAAAAAAATAAAGGTAATTACTTGTAATAATTTCTAGTAAAAAACTTTTATAAAACAATTCCTAATGGAGAAGTTTTATATTTATTAAAATTCTCAATTTAAATATTAATGTAACAATATAAAGGAAGTCTTATATTAACTAAAATTATGTTTAATTATTATTAATATATTTTCTATTAATATACTTTTAGTTGCTAATTTCTAAAAATATTTTAGTACATTTAAAAAAAAGAGAATAATAATAATTAAATTAATTTACTTTTTAAAAGACTCAAAGTAGAAGCAAATTCTGATTATAGATGCCAAGGTTCATCATATTAATTTACACTTATTTTATACCCAATAAAGTAAACTGGACAAAATTTTTATTTTATTGAAGTTTGTGGTTTAATTCTTATAACAATCATTTAATTTTTTTCATCACTCTACATAATTGTCAATGACATAAACAATATATATAATATCTTTTTTTTTTTTTTATATCTCTTATTAAATTTCTCAATTAACATCCTGTAACAGTATCAAAGCCCGGACAGTCGTATATAACAACTTATGTTCTTGACTTATATAACTACTATTGCTAAATATACTTAGGTTAATGCTAATTTCTAAAAATATTTAGTAAAAATCATATTTAAACAAAATAAAAACAACGCAAGAAAATTTTAATTCTAATATTAAATTAAATTTACTTTTAAGTAGACTCAAATAGAAGCAAAGTTACTGATAAGATATAGTGCAAGGCTTCATTTCTATTTAATGTTAACTTAATTATATACCCATAAAAGTTAAAACTGGACAAAATTATTTATATTGAAGTTTGTGTTTACTTCTTATAACAATCTATAGATCCCTTTTTTCATCGCGACTCTACATAATTTCAAATGACATACTAAAACACTATATCTATAATATCTTTTTTTTTATTGAATGATTATTTTTTTTTTTTTTGTTAATATTAGCATGTTATATCTTACATAGGTTATAAAAAATTAAAAAAAAAAAAAATTTAAAAGAAGATAGATGCGGGACATGCTGATAGAGCATTTGATGCATTTTGGAGGACTGTTGTCCTAAGGTCTCCCTAAGTCATAATTTTGATAGCAGGAATGGACATAGCTCAGTGCGAACTATTCAAACTCATTTCTTTGCTTTAGACATTTCTTTATTGACGCTTTCTTTTTAAATTTTCTTTTCTTATTTCTTTTAGAATCAAAAAAAAATTATAAGTGATTTTTGAGATTTTTTTTTTGAAAAAAGAATATAAGATGATAGAAAGTTAAAAAAAGAAAAATTATTATTACATTCCTATATATATTGAAATACAATTATTCCATCTATATTTTTCTGAAAATACTTTTTACAATCTTTATATTTTTAGTGCATCATAACATTTAGTTATTCTGTTAGATTTTAATATTTTTGATCGTTAAATCAATAGAACAAGAAGAAGCCTCAAAACTCAAAAGAGAGAATTTAAAATTACACCAAAAATACCTTTTATATTATCGTATTCTATCGTGGCGATACCGCTCTGCTTCCCTCATCCCAGATCATCAACATTACGACAGACCCAATGGCCACAGGCTCCCTATATGGCGGCGTGTCCTTACTTAACCACACAAATCCTTAAATTACCAGACTTGAAGATAGTTGTTCTCGCTTCCAGTCCACAATTGAGGCGTTTGCTGGTGGCTTCAATGAAGGAATTAGAAAATTGAGGTTCATCGTCGAAGGAAGATGATAAAGGAACTGTATTCAACGTATATTTCAACTCTTAGGTAGTAAATTTATGTTTGTCTAAAGATTTGAGCTTTATCATTTATGGGTTTGAGTTCTAATTATAGAATTGAAAACAAAAATTTTCTAAAACAACATGTAATAATTAGTTTATTTAGGATTTGAGTGTTTAGACACAACTTACCGGAGTTTTCTTTTTTCTTGAGTTGTTGAAATCGTAAGATTTCTTTTATTTCTTGATTTGCTTTTGTTTTATTTTGATATTATTTTACTTTTTTTTTTATTTTGATTGGATCTTGTATCTTTAATTGAATATTTCATTGAATTTTGATTTCGATATCGAATATCTTTTTAATTTTTTTTATCAATGTTGATGTAATGAAATCTAATGATAGTGTTTGGCGATGGAAATAATAAAAAAGAGATGGTTTGACATAAAATAAAATGAAAATGTGAGAGAAGGGTATATATTTTTATCCTTTTTTATCGAGCTAAATTGGCTAAAATTGGACGAAAGGACTAAATGTTACGACGGACTGAAAAATAGACTTCAAAAAAATATTTCTAGAAGACGGAGATAAAATAATTATATTTTGATATATATATAGAGACGTAATAATAAATTTTCCGAAAGAAAATGAAAAAAGAAAGATAAATTAAATGGTACATCATGTTTGTTCATTTAAGAAGATGAGTGTTCAATCCAAAAAACATACAGAGAATCTATGAGTTCGAATTTAACAAAATAAACCATCCAGGTATAAGATATTTTTGGCTACTTTTTTAATAATCAGTCACTCACTATGACAATTACAATCAATAATTAATATTATATAGAAATAATAATAAATAAGTAATGATAACATGCAATGCATGCTATGGAAATAACTCTAAATATAAGTGAGCATCAAAATTTTGAAACAGAAAACTAAAAGGAGAAATCTGTAGATATACCAGCCCTCTTGAAAATGATTTTTTTTTTTTTAAATAAAACATTTTAGTGGATAACATACATTTGTTTACATATTCTATTACATCTTATTTAGACTTAATGCTCTAACTTTTTCAGAACTCTTTACTCTCTTTTTTTTTTTTTTTTTTTTTGGGATTTGATGGATAACTACCATGTTGTTTAAATGATCTTCGTGATACGACCTTATTTAGACCTTAATTGTGCTTGATTTTTCTGACTAGCTGTTACTACGTCTGTTTTTTTTGTTTTTTTTTTGGGACTTTAAGACTCTTATTATACATGGAAACCTAAATACCGATGTAGTAGAGTCACTGTGAGGCGTTCTGGCGATATATTGAAGTGTTGGGTATCCATTTAATTCTGTATGGGGGCGCGTGGAGAGGAAGAGGGGGGAGGGAGGGAAGAAGGCGAGGGAGATGGGCCGGGGGAAGGGGGGAGGGCAAGGGGGGGATGTCCATTTGGTTTTTTTTTTTTTTTTTTTTTTTTGGGACTTTTTAAGACTTTAATTACATTGGAAACCCAAAACCATTATAAGCAGATGGGCTTTCTGGATCATTGAAGGTGTTTGGGTCCATTAAATCATGAGTCCAATTTGGATTATTTGCTTGGCCCAATGAGCTTGTGGCAGTGGCACTAGTGGTAATATCATGAATGCTAGGCCTCTTCTTATCTTTCTTAACCGAGTTCAATCGAAGAAAATATTTCTGGGCATGGCTTGCCACTTGGGTTGGCGTTCTTGATACTACAGCATTTCTTGAAATGCTTCTCCAATCTCCCTTCCCATATTTTTGCAATCCAATCAGAAACAACCTGAGACCAAAATTATATATATTACAACCACTGTATAAGACTGTAACGTACCTTCGTTAAACTCCAGTACTCGCTCGTTAAAGTTATACTCAAATTTAAATTTGATTTGAAAATTTAAATTGAAATCAGCTTGTTTAAAATTTATAATTAAAAAAAAAATACCTATTTAAAGTCTTAAACTTGACTCGTTAAACTCAGTGAAAAGTATATTTGAACTCAATTTCAATTTAAATCCGATTCAAGTTTGAAAGACCGAAATTTAAACTCTGTTTGTTTAGAGCTTATGCTTAATTCAAATATTGCTGATGTTAAAAGATAATATTATATAATACATGTAGCCGCCAGCTTAATGCCAACGGCAACTACTTATCTGGCGGCGGGGATGGATACTCTTTAGCTAGAAATATATAGAAAATTATTTTATTTTTATTTTTATTTTTATTATGTTACAAGAAAAATATTAATTTATGTTTAATGAGGCAAGAATCCTTTCATTGGAATCTATCGTATTTGCTCAAAAATATATTATTTTATTTTACTTCATTTGTAATCTCCAGGGCATGAGATCACACTCTAGAGAAATAGGGTCACCTTTTTTATGACACTGTTAATCTAATTAATTATTTTTATTAATTTAGATTGAAATGATTATTAATCTTAGGACCAAAAAAAAATTAAAAAAGAAGATAAAACAAAATATTTATAATTGATTAAAATTGTCACCTGTGCTCTTCTTCTGTCCAAGGGACTCCTTTCCTTCTCTCTGATGTCTCCTTCTCCTTCCCTTTAGACCCAAACCATACTTGACTCGTCCCAGACTCAGTAACAGAACCCCAACCACCTGCTGAGTCCATCCCCCACTCATCCTCATAACTCGGCAACTGAACTCGCCCTGAGTCAATTTCTCCGACATCATGAACCAAATCCTCGTAATGTTTCTTCACTTCAACCCATGTTCTTCCCGGAACTTGGGCGGCAATCTTTTGCCATCGGTTTGGGGATTCCTCGGGAAAGATGACAAGTGCTCGCTCGAAGAGCTTGTCTTCAAGCCGAGACCAGGACGAGGAATTCCCGATCATCGTAAAACTGAACCTTTTCTTTTATTGTTGTTTCTGAGATATTTTGGGGGTGAGTTTGAATGCGGGCTTGTTCTGGGTTTTTATATGGAATTGAGGTTTGAGTTTGACCAGAATAAGAAGAGGATTTATTGTGTCGTTTAGTTGTGGATTAACGTTAAAACTTTCGGCTGTGGTGGCTGTGCGTGATTAAGACATGCTGTTCATAATTATAATAATAATAAAAGCATAAAACACGTTCTGAAATATTCTGAGATAGCTTACTGCTACAGATGAGTGCGTTGTACACGTGTCTTCGTACCAATATGTCGGCTAGATTCACCTTTTTTTTTTTTATTTAGTTAAACTTCTATTTAAATTAATTTTTTGTATGTTTTTACTTAATTTATTATAGCAAATTAAGAAGTTTGTGTTCAGTATGGATATCAAACTCGAGAATTCTTTTCATATGACTTTTTCATACGACGAGCCTGTATTATCAACTGAGTCACAACTTATAATCTTTGAAAAATTAATTTAATAAAACTTTGAGAAGCATATTCACTTGTTTTTATATTATTTATTTTAGGATATATATAGAGAGAGAGGCATACAGTTAGTCACACCGTAAGCTGCTTTATGGCTTTCCATGGAAAGTTTGCTAAACTAATTAAAGTTAGGGTTTAATATTTATATATGATATATAATTGGTTTGAAATTATCCCCTTCTTGACATTTTCTTCTCGTAGGTCCAAAAATCTTCTTTTGAAATTTAGGGTGTCCCACATATTGGTCGGTTGTAACAAAGCTTAAAATAGCTCAACTTGTTTTTTGGGTGGGCAAGATACTTATCTATCTATTGCCAGAATTTATAATCCCTTGGTCCGTTATAAATAAATATTTACCCTCAAATTAATAATATATATACAGACACGCCTTTGGGAAGAGAAATGTGCACTAAGAAAGTACGAGAGACACTCTAAATTTTGACATTTACTGCAAAATCACTTTATTTTAACTTTGATACCATATATATTTAATTTGTAAACTTAAGTATATTGACAATTCAGTCTCAAATTTTTTAATAAAATATTATAAAATGGACCACAACATAATTTTAGTGAACTTAATCTAAGGCTTGCAACTCATTTAACCAAACAACTAACTTAACAGTAAAACACACCGTCGGCCAAAATAAACCGTTTAACTAAACTATTCAACATCCAATTGAGGAAGAACTTTGAACAAGGGTGGCCACAGTTCCGGTTTCAAAAATTTTAGAACTGAAATCAAACTGAAAATTGACGGTTTTGGTTACGGTTTGAAATTAAACGATTATAGTTTTGATTCTGGTTCCTCAACGATTCCAAGACCAACGGTTCCTGCCAGTTCTCCGATCGATTTTTCGGCGAATTGAGTAATTATAAAATAAAAAATTAGGGAACATTTTTTTTGAAAATTTGAAATTTAAAAATTTGTGAAATAATTTCTAAAAAAAACTTTTAAGAAAAAATAAAAAATGCTTGAACTTAATTTATTTCTTTTTTTGAAAAAAGCTTGAACTTATTGGAGATTGGACTTTGGAGAAATTATTTTGGACGATAATTTATAAATGAAAATTGGAGAGATTGTAGAGTAGAGAATAATATATTCTTTTTTAAAAAAAAAACTTGAACTTATTGGAGATTGGACTTTGGAGAAATTATTTGATTGTAGTGAGTAGAGAATATATTTTCTTTTTTAAAAAAAAACTTGAACTTATTGGAGATTTGGACTTTGGAGAAATTTATTTGGTACGATAATTTATAATGAAAAATTTGGGAGAGATTGTTAGAGTAGAGAATTATATAGAGCTAGAGATTGGAGATTGGACTTTGGAGAAATTATTTTGGACGATAATTTATAAATGAAAATTGGAGAGATTGTAGAGTAGAGAATAATATAGAGTAGAGATAATTTTATGCGAGGGGATTATAAATGGAAATGGGTATTTATAATAAACCTAAAAAATAATTTTCCACAAATACCCTTAAAACTAGCTTTATATTGCTATTTATAGTTGTTAAGAGACTTAATTTAGGAATTTCACAAAATTATTTAGAAAAATAAAAAAAGCTATTGGAACCGCTGGTTCGAATCACCGAAACTTCCAATTCTAGCCGTTTGAAATAAAATTCAGATTTTAGTTGGAACCACCGATTCGTCAATTCTAACTAGTTGGAAAAACTGCCAGTTCCGGATGGTTCTGGCCGGTTCTTGGAACCACCGATTTACGGTTCCAAAAATGGTAGAACCAGAACCAGACCATAGACCACCGGTTCCGGTTCCCATCGGGAAATGGCCACCCCTACTCAAATGAAATAATCTAGGTGAAGAATGGCTAATGGTTATCTGTGTGTAATGAAGCAGGGAGAGGAAGAATAATAAGGTTATTTCTGTTTGGGAGAGAGAAGGTGGTTGTGGTGATTTGTTTACTAAAACTGTGTGTTTCATGTCCTTCGTTAGATTAACCCAAGGTTATGTTGTGGGTCCACTCTCTAATATTATATTCAAATTCTTAGATTAAATTTGAATTTAGGGTGCCAATATATCTAATCTTCTAAACTAGGGTGCTCTGGATACAAAGGTTAAATTAGAATGATATTATAACAAGTCGCAAATCTTATGATATTTTATAGTTTAACCCTATGAGGAAAGATAATTATAAGTTAGGGGTTTTCTCATTCTCTATTTATTTTTTTTAGAGTTTTCTTATTGAAGTGTGAAAACAGGATGGTATATCAAATTCGACACGAATTTATCTTATAGGCGATATAATTATTAGCACAAATACTAGTGATGGAGCTAGAAATTAAAGTTAGAGGGTTAAAAAGAAATTCAAGAGTTAAGGAGGGTAAATTTGACAAATTTTACTATTTTAAAGGATAAAATAAAAATTTTCAATATTTTTATGGGATAGCTTTTTTGAAAAAATTTTGGTTAGGAGACAGGAGCCACCCCTGGCCCCTCTGGTTCTAACAGTGACAAATATGAACTATTTAATAATCATATTAAATATTTAAATACGATCATTACACAAAAGTTAAATGTATGAGTGATATAAACATGACATGTAGAATCTATTTAATTAATAAGTTGTATATAATCAAAAAAATCTCACCAAGTTAATTAAATAGGTCGTATACGAGTCAGAAAATTCTGCAAGTATAACACGCTTGGTACATATATATTATTATGAGGTCCCAATTCGGGGATGAGAGACAAAGTACATGCTTATTAATGCATTCGATTTAGTTTTATTGATTCACATGTTTTTTTTAATAGTTTCACTCTCTATTTATCAAATATGAGGAATATACTCTAAAAAAAATTTGAATATTTTAAAATATTTATGGAATCGGTTCTTAGGCCCAAATAGCCCGTTAGGCAAAATTTTCATGAACTCTTTCTTGGGCGCTGATAACTCTCCTTAAACAAGGCACACGGGATCAAATTGGCATTTAATTAAATTACATTAAAAGGTATATTAAATTAGGATTGTGTTAGATTAAAAGAATTGTTGAGTTTGATAGAATCGAAATATTTTTTAAGATTTCCACAGATTCTACTAGAATTCTACATATAGTTTTATGAAATTTGTGAGATTTTTTTTTTATAAATTTTGATTTACTTTGATCGAATTAAAATGATTTTTATATCTACTTAAAATTAATTCAGGACCTAATTAAACAAATTAAAAAGTTTTTGAGCCCAATTGAAAAACTGAAAACAATAAGGGACCAAAAAACACGTCATCTTCTCCAAAATCGTTTTCTTCTTCTTAAAACTTTACCCCCGTGGACAAGGAAAGGTCTGCAATTGCTAGTGGTGCCATCGGCCATCCCGGATCTCCATAACAGTTAGGGGGTTAACAAATGGTCGGTTTGATTCAAATCGAATCGAGATCAAAAATACAATTGAAGTTTTTTTATCAATAAATCGAATAGAACCGAATTTGCCTTCCAAACTGAATGGAATGAATCAAGTCAGTCAGTTCAGTCAATTTTAATCGATTTGGCCATTTCGATTCGGTTTTAAGCCAAACCAATGGATTTTTATGAAACCGACTCTAACCGAATAATAAATTTAGTTCAAACTGAATAAACAAACAACCGAACCTTTCTTGATTTAGGTGACTGAATGGAACCGAAATGAGTTAGCTCGATTTTTGGTTCAATTCGGTTAATAAGGCTCACACCTAGCGACCGTCTCGCTAGAAAATTACAGGTTTAAATATATATTTTTAAATTTAAAATGAAAATAAAAAATACCTAGCACTCTAAAATCTAATCAAATCTTTGGGTTAGAGGATGAATTTGTGAATAACTCTTCTATTTATACCTAACACTCTAAAATTCAATGAAATCAATAATTTTATAAAATCCATCCAAATCAGCAATTTTTTGAATACTGTTAAATTTATATAGACTTTAAAAAATTATAATTGAATACCATCAGATTTTTATGGATCTTATAAGAGTCTCAATTAAATACCACAAAATTTTAATACAATCTAAAGAAATTTAGATTAAATATCATTGAAATTTTAAAATCTAACAAAGTCCTAATCCAATACACCCCTCTAAATATTACATAAAATAATTTTTAATTAATAAATTTTATTAAATTCATATTTATGAATTAAAATAAAATAAATTAATGAAATTTATTAAAATAAAAGTATTATAGCAATTAAAGTTCAGTTATAATCTATATTATATGTAAACATAGAGAAGCCTATCTTAAATGACAGACAAGTATAAGTCTATCAAATTGCCAAGTGAAAGAAGTTTGCATAATTGTAAAAAGATAAGTTATGATGACACCAATTGTAAGAAGATTAGATGTTTTATATTTTTAGATAATGTCATATAAGAGAAAAAAGAAAAGAAAACTAAATTAATATTAATAAGCAAAAACTATTTTATTTGGAAATAAGAAAGGAATCGCCGGGATTAGTCATTTAAGGATTAGTTGATGTGTTGGGATGAAAGACAGTTCTTCAGTGCTGCTCCAGGACGAATAGTAAAGGCAAATGGCCATAATCAAGCTCTATCCACTAAAGGGGGCCAATAACAAAAGAAAGCTAAGTTACGAAAGGATTCCGATAATTTTCTCCTCAGATTAGAAGCAAAATGAAAAA